AGCCGGAAGTGTCATCTTTGAGTACTGTAGAAATTGGTGATTAGCTAAGGATTCTTCATGACAGGATGGGGATCTCCTGCTCATCCTTCAGTCTGAATAATTGCATCTGTCCCTTCATAGTGCTCCAAAAACTGTGGTAGACTGAATAGAAAAACAAAAGTAGTAAGGCAGGCCAAGTTAAGGAACAACTTGTCAGAGACATGCAACGGAAGGATCCTTCTCCAAACATGCTAGGGATGAGAATCCTACCAAGGAGTCCTGAGAGCAAATAGATCATTCAGGTATAAAAGATCCCTATGGGATCATCTATGGGAAGATATGAACATCGGAAGGGAGGGGGGGAACCAGCAGAATTTTTTGCATTTGTGTTCATCTTGGAAGAACATGGATTTCAGTGCCAGTACCTTTTCTAATGGCTAATCTTCCACAGAAGGATCTGTCTCCAATTGAAAAGTCAGTAAAAGGCAGTTATAGAATGAAATTATCCATAACAAAGCACCATAACTGGCTGATACCCACTCTTGTGTTCTCTTGTTTTCAATATGTCATTTAAAGCAGCTTTGGGACCAGAAGATCACAAAGTGATAAGTGTAAGCCAGACTGTCATAATATCTTTATTCTCACATGTATAAATAAGTAGGTGAAAGATAAATGCTCAGTGTTTTAGGTGGAGGAAGATCATTACTGGCGTCCCAAACAACTCTCTTCTGCTCAGTGTGTTTCTAATGTTCGAGACAGAGGGAAGGTGTTGTTGCAGTGGCAGAATTTGTCAACCATACAAAGCTATTCAGGCTAGGACACAGAGGTGTTAATTGCAAAGAGTGGCAGAAGGATGTAATTACAGTGAATGGCTGGGTTATGATAGCAGAAGAAATTTATTGTAGATAAATGTAAAGAAAATTTACATGAAATGAAAACATATGGGCAAAATCCTAACATCATGCACTCAGCAACTGACTGTATTTACCTGATTTTTAACATTCAATAATGAGATCTTGGGATTTTACTACACAGGCCCATGGAAATATCAGGTCAATACTTAGTAGTGCTCGAAAAACAAACAGATTGTTAGAAATTATTAGAGAAAAAAACCCCAAAACAGAAAAAAAAATCATTCTTGTAGTTAATAAATCTGTAGTGCACCTATGTTTTGAAGACTCTATGCAAGTTCAGTTCTCCCCTCCCTACCTCAGATAGCCTGTAGTATAACTGGAGATGGTACTGAAGAGGGTGGCAAAGATGGTCAGAAATATGAAATTGAATTCTGTCTAAGGGACAGTTAGAGAGACTACGACTGTAGCTTGGGAAAGCAAGAACTGAGTAGGAATGTGCTAGAGATGTAAAAAGTCCTGAGTGCCTGACAAGGTGAATAGAAAATGTTCACTCCTTTTCTTCTGGTATAATAATTAGGAGCTGTCAGGTAAAACAAGCAGGTAACAGGCTCAAAACAAGCCAAAGACAATTCCTGTATTAACTGTGCAATTTCTATATTAACTATGTAATTTCTGTATTAGCTGTGTAATGCAAATGTTGACTTTAAATTGTGGAGGTTTATATTGGAAACCACTAATTGAAGGTTTTCTTTCCATTTCTGCAGGGAAACACGACAGCAAAAACATTATTTTTGTGTAATATCACAACAGCATTTTTGTCTTTAATTATTGTGGGTAAGTTTATTGGTGGCTATGGAAGGTTTTGTTTTGAAAACTATATTTTCCCACAAGTAATATTAATTTTCTATGAAAATAGCTGTAAAAGTTAGATTTATGTGTGCCAATGAGTTCTTTTAAACAGTCCTAAAAGCAGAAACCTATAAAATAAAATGTGGTATTTTATATACCATCTTATCACAGAATCATTTAGATTGGAAGGGAACTCTTGAGATCACCTCTTCCAACGTCCCTGACCCCCACAGGGCCTGCTAGAGCAGGTTGTCCAGTACTGTGTCCAGTTGGATTTTGAATATCTCCACGAATGGAGATTACATGACCTCTCTGGGCAACTTGTTCCATTGGATTGATCACCCTCACAATAAGAAAAGTGGATTTTTTGTGTTCAGATGGAATTTTTTGTGTTTCAGTTTGTGCTTATTGCCTCTTGTCCTGTCAGTGGGCAATACTGGCAAAAGCCTGGCTCTTTGTTCTTCCCTCCCTCCCATTGGGTATTTACACACTTTGATAAGATTGACCCACATGTTCCCCGAGCCTTCTCTTCTCTAGACTGAACAACCCCTGTCTTGCAGCTTCTCCTCATGTGAGAGATGCTCCACTCCCTTAATTGTCTTTGTGGCCCTGTGCTGGGCTTTCCCCAGTAAATCCATGTCTGTGTTGTACTGGGGAGCCCAGAACTGGCTGCACTGCTCCAGATATCATCTCATCAGAGCCAAGTAGAGAGGAAGAATCACCTTCCTCCAGCTGCTGGCAGGCCCTAATGCAGCCCAGGACACCATCAGTTGTTTTTGCTGTGAAGGAGCATCGGTGGTTCATGGTCAGTTTGTTGTTCACCAGGACCCTGATGTTGATGTTGACCCCAGAGCTGTTTTCCGGCTGAATGGTCTCCAGCATGTGCTGGTGTTTTGGGTGGTTTTCACCAGATGCAGGACTTTGCATTTCCTTTTGTTGAACTTCATGAGGTTTCTGTCAGCCCACTGCTCTAGCCTGTCAAGGTCTGTCCGGATGGCAGCACAACCCTCTGGTGTTTAAACAGATGAAATGAGTTGTAGTTTTAACTTTACAAAATGTGTCCTTAGGATTTTTTCATATTGAAATATATAGCCATTTGACAATAACATAACATCTTGCAATTGGTTAGTTTTGCCCTTCAGCTGTCAACTAACAATCCAGTTCATGTTTAAAACATTTCAAATGGTTCAAATAAGTTGCTGCCATAATCTTGTTGTTCCATCTGGAATCTTGCAGCAGTGCCAGACATTACAAGAAAAATTTAATGAATTTCCATTCTTTGTTTCTAGCAAATATTTGGTTGGAAACTTTTTGGTTTTGGGTTGGGTTTTGGGTTTTTTCTTGCCATGAATGGACAAGCTGCAAGGTTCACTGATCAATTGGATAGTGTGGGTATTTTTGCTGACTAAATAATCATATGAAAAGATGATGTTTTTGGCTGCCCTCCTGCCAGTAGCTGAGAGTTCTATTGTCTGCTTAGTTACACATGTACCTTGTAATTCTTTCCTGCTACATGGAAATAATGGAGACCATTGGGGAGGGGGATTTCAGAGAAACTGAGGCAAAAAGTGTGTAAAAAAAATGACACTATTTCAAAGTATTAGCATTTAGTGGCAGAAAAAGGCTATCAGTTCCTGTGGCCACAACAATTCATAACCATTAAAGTTATTGTGGAGCATTTAATACAGATATCTGAGCAATTCAGTGTTTCGGTAAGTAATTTGGAAAAGATATATAGCGAAGTAGTGAGAACTGTGGATGTTTATCCCTGGTGTTTAAAACTAATGCTGACTATGAAGAGGATATCTGGATATTGAATGGTTTAGTGATAGAATGTCAATAAGTAAAACCAAACAGATTTGTAGGGGCATGGAAGGGTCACACACATAACAGCAGAAACAAGCATGCTGTATGCGTGTGGTGTGAGCATTAAGTTAATTAATAACCTCTTAGGAAAAAGATGCTACTTTGACATCTCTGGATGCTCTCTGGAAACATTAACTCAGTCATCAGTGGTGATCATAAAAACAGATTTTTTTTGGGGGAGGGGAGGAAAGGAGTAGAACAGAAGACAGATAGCTTTCTTATGCTACTCTGTAACACCATGGTGAATGTGAATCAATTGAATTCTGCAGTTTTGGTCGTTGCATCTCAGAAAGACTGTATCAGAAATGGTAGAGAGATGAGTCGCCATGTTGTCTGATATGGGATGGCTTCCATATGAGAAGTCATTAAATGACTGAGGACTCTGAGGTAAAGAGAAGAAATGACAGGCAGGGTGTAATGGAGGTCTATAAAATCATGAATAGCATAGAGTAAGCAGATGAGAGAATGCTTGCGTTGGCATTTCTCATCACAAGAAGTATGTGATACCCAGAGAAATTATAAAAGTCGATTAACAGTTTCTCATGCAGAACGTGAGAGAAAAGTAAGGGGCTGAAGGCAAAGCATTACTGCACTTGCTCTGTCTTGCTCTCTTCTCTTACACATTTTCCACTGGTTGTTATCAGAGGCAGGGGTTTGGGTAGACAGACACTTGCATGACTCTGTGTGGCTGTTCTTATATTCTAACAAAACAAGTTTTAGATAAATAAAATACTGATTCTGAATACCAGGGTCACATTCCTGAGTTGGTGCCTTTTTTTGTCATACTGACAAAAAAAAATCTCTCATGGCATTGCTCTTTTCCCATGTGAATCTCCTTGGGTCCAAGGGAAAGAAAGTGAGGTCATTGGCAAGCGCTTCTACTATTTCCTCTCTAAATGCTCATAAAATGAAGGGCAAGTTGAAATTTCCATAGTAAACTTATTATTTGTGCAACAGCAACTTTAACTTCAGTGTCCTCTTGGGACATTTGGGTACTGAAAGCATCATCTATTTTGAAAACTTACTTTGACCACAGTTAAGTGAAGTTAACATGATGTTAAAAGTGAAATATGTATGCACACATCTGTGTTTGTGTGAAAACTCCAGATGAAACAGACTGGAGAAATAGAAGTACTGTAGTAATTTGTATCTGAACTAAATGTACAAATGCCGATCTGCTGCAAATGAGAAGATTCTGTTGAGTGTAAAGTTTGCATTCAAAAAACCAACACTTCAGTGGTGTAACTATAGCTGTATATCATTAAGTAGTACTCACAACTGTAAAGGGTCTGCAATTGCACTTCTAGTAGATGACTTAAGAATGAAGGTGGAAACTTCAATGAACTTTGTAAATGTAATCAAGAAGTGAGTTCAGTATGTCCTTTTACAGCGTTTGAGGTTTTCTTTAACATTTGTCTCTTTCTTTTAGAGAAATGTGACGCCTATGATGTGATGTTGAGGGAAAGTCTTGTGCCTGATGGGCAGCCTCTTGCTATTAGATGCTCACTGGAAAAGAGCTTGAAAAGTGGAGACTACAACTTAACATGGTATAAAGTTGGTAACCAGACAGCTGTGCCTAGAGACAAACTTTCTAGAATTCATCAGCAGAAGAATTTAATTTGGTTTCTTCCGGCAATGTTAGAAGATTCTGGAGATTATGAATGTGTCATAAGGTGAAATTAAAGAAAAAAATTACATTGCTACAGAAATGAGTTGCAAAGGGAATAACTCTTAGAAACCAAGTAGAATTTGGGGGGCTAAAATAAATAATAATGAAGAAGGGAAAGTGCATTGACAAAAACTAACTTCAGATTGGGGAAAGCAAGTTGAGTTTGGGGTTTTGTTTTCCTAGTAGGCAAGAGTAAATCTATCAGAGAAACTGTGAACTTCTCATCCTCTCTTTCTCCTCCAAAAAGAATACCATATATTTCTGAGTTGGAAAAAATGCCAAATAGGTTAATTTAATTATGTCATGTCAATTGCAGGAATTCATCAATCTGCAGGAAAATGTGTACAAAAGTAACAGTTTTTGAGAGGACTGATGGTTTATGCTTAAATGAAAAATTTTCTGTAGAGGAGGTGGTATTCACATTATCATCTGCAAAGGTTGTGTGTCCACACTTGGATTATTTCAGGAATGAGAAGAATATTCATCCTGTTCGTTGGTATAAGGTGAGAATACTGTGGTTTTTACTTTCTTATTTAAAATATAAATCACTGGTGTTTGTGAATTTTAAGAGAAAAGCTAAAGACCTATTGTAAATTGGAAAAAATGCTTTGAAAACAATTTGGGACAGGATTAAGGCTTTTTATCTTTTAAAGGTGTGTTCAGGTTTTTTCATTAATGGGGTAGAAATTCAGCTTAGGTGTAGCAGATGTTGACCCCCGTACCCACCAGGTGGCATCTTTTTACCTGCCAGCGAAACACACTGTCATGAATTTCTTGTGTGCGGAAATAGATTTAGTATGTCATTTGTGAGAGATGGCATTATCCGTTATGTGCCCAATATTGTTCCATTAAATGCCATTTCATATTGTTCACGCTTATTCAAAGGCTCTTTCTGTTACAAGTATGTAGCATCTTCTGCAGCATTTCTGCCTTGTGCTCGTGCAGTCCCTATGGTACCAAGAGTATTTAAATACTTTAAAAAATTAAGTCTAATTATTAAGCAATTCTTCATTAATGAATACTTTTACAAATCCTGACACTTACATTTCACTTCCTTATTTCCCTAAAATTGGAACTTGTTTTCTATAGGAAAAAAACAGAAGTCTCTGTGAATTAAAAACTCTGAGCCAAAATGAAGTGTATTTTGCTTTTTATTGCACTACCTTGCTCTTCCTCAGCACCTGCAAGGCAGCCACCCTTATGCTGTGGTCCATTGAAAGTTTGGGTTGTATTAAAGAGGGACAAACCATGGAAAGAAATAGTGATATAAATTAACAGAGCTCTCTACACACATCTAGGACTGCCAGCTGCTGGAAGGGAAAAGATTTGCCTTCTCAAACCGTGATCTTATAATTGTCAATGTGACTGTACATGATCAAGGAAACTATACATGTGAAACAACATATACCTACAATGGAAAACAATATAACATTTCACGAGACATCCATCTGACTGTAGAAGGTAAGTAGATAATTTCACTGTGTTTGTGTTCATAAGAATGACTCCAAATTTTTGTCCGTGTTTCTAAAGACTAAAGCTAAATGACCCAATGTGTGGATAGACGTGCTTAGAGCTACTAGTTTTTACCTAAATATGAGGGAAAAAATGTTGACTGAGAGCTTATATATTTTTGTCTGTTGTTGCCACTGTGTTGAAGATTGGTTCCCCTGTTTGAAGTTGCAGTGTGTCAAAGCTTTGCTGCCAGACCAGCTGCAGAGGTCCCTAAACAGGTGCCCTGCAAGGCTTGGTAGGCGCAATACTTTCTGCTGTAGGTGCACCCTCTGTCCTGCCCATCTTACTCCTCTCTCTTTCCATTACCCACTTGCTTCAAGAACAATGACCTAAACCAGCCCAAATTGTAGCAGTATCTTGATTCTGTGTCTCCTATCTGTTTCCTTCAAACCTTTGTCTCCTCTGTTTTTGGTTTTAAGCTCCTCAGCACAAGAACTGCTGATCTCTGATATAGTATGTCTAGTTCAGTAGACCCTGATTTATGCTTGGGGGCCACAAGCACAACCTAAAAAATTAAAAGAAGGTCTAGCTGTAAAATGCAAATGCCTTTGCACAGCATTATGAGGTTGATATTGTATCACCGAAAAGGTTGTGATGTATGAAGGTATGAAATACCAATATTGTTTTTACATTCTAGCTGGTAAAAGACTTTTAGTTTACTAATAGATTGCATTACTATTTAATTGTCTCTTTTTGTGCTTGCCTGTTTTGTCTGTGTGTGTATATACATGCACACATATGTATGTTTATGTGTGTGTATGCATGTGTGTATATATATATATATATATATGAAATGATTATGTATCATATTCACATAATGTCATGTATATAATGTGGAGAAACAAAATACGAGGAACATACAGTCAGACCAGAGTCTTGGAGACCTGGTCTTAAAATCTGTTCCTTGAATTCCTCTTAGTGTAATTTCAGCTCCCACTACTCAGTAGAACCAAAATCCTACCACCTATTTGCCATAAATGACTGAAGGTAGCACAGTTGTAAAGACTCAAGCTGAGCAAGTCCACACAAAATAGCTGATCTGGGGTACAAAGAGTAGTGCAAACACAGTTTTCACAGGGGGAAGATACATCTGAGGCAATACTGTGTGCTTCACTAGGGGGCTTAAACAGGATGTTTATTATTTCTTTTTGTTAATTTGTGCTCTTGGAGAAACTTCTTTGAACTTTGAATATTTGATAGGAAGTGTTTTAAAACATCCTACAGCTGCCTGAGACAACTGGAAGTGGTATGTGTGTTCAGTGAGGGATGCTCCAAGTTGAGATTCATTTAGCTGTACTGAGACATTTTTAATGTAGGTGTCTAGACCTCCACCTGTTGATAACTCTGCCTTTGTAGCCTGTAGAGAGACATAAGCTTTCCAGATTGTCATATACCTAGTCGTAATTTAAATATCTAACAAGGGTCACTGGTGGTGTGCTTCCTTATAGACAGTGCTGTGGGATGAAATGTAAGGCCTTTAGCTGGAGTACAGAAACTAAATTTCCCCTTTATAATAGTAGAAGTCTAAAATAGATGAAATGCACTCCAAAGTATTTGGCTTCAGTTTGTATCTGTGGGGTGCTGGGTGACAGGGTATCCAGATTGTAGAGGGGTAATACTGCAGATATTGACCCATACCCTTCTCAGCACCTATGCATACAATATTACATGATTTTTATGCCATGGAACAGCCAGACCACCATGACTCTGTGGAGATTTGTGGCACTACATTTTGGAAGAAGTGGAGCAAAGAACAGCATAGCTTCAAGTCAGAAGTAACAACTACCTGAGATACGGTACTTTCAGCATTAAGTAATATCTATTATAACAGATGTGACAATCTTGTCTGTAGGACAAGATTGTTTTTAGGTTGTACTTGGTTTATAGAGCACAGAGCAGGCTACAGCTGACCCACGTTTTCTGAAAAGAACTTTCTTTCTTTTGATTAGTGAGCCCACCAAAAAAGCCTCCAGAAATATTTTATCCGAGAAACAACTCCATTGAAGTGGAACTTGGTAAGTAGTTTTCTCTGTAAGAAAATATAACTTTGTAATTGAAAATTTATACCTGTGGAGTGCCTGTGTTAACGGACACAAACTGGAACACAGGAGGTTCAACTTCAATTTGAGAAGAAACTTCTTCTCAGTGAGGGTGACAGAGCACTGGAACAGGCTGCCCAGAGAGGTTGTGGAGTCTCCTTCTCTGGAGACATTCAAAACCCGCCTGGACGCCTTCCTGTGCAACCTCATCTAGGTGTTCCTGCTCCGGCAGGGGGATTGGACTAGATGATCTTTTGAGGTCCCTTCCAATTCCTAACGTTCTGTGGTTCTGTGAGTGCCCTGCTCTGTGGCTTTTTGGTTTTGTTTGTTTGTTTTTTGACACAAACTAGGTCAGTGATCAACTCAGTTTCTCTAGGTTGACCTCCTGAAGGGGGAGTGTTTAAGG